ATAAAAACAAATAAAATAAAAAATATATAGCGTAATGCTATGGCGTAACTCACATTCTCAAGAGCCTGTTCACAAAAGAAACTGGCTCAGGTAGTAGCGTTTTAGGGGTATAAGCTTGTAACCTAAAACACTACTACCTGAGCCAGTTTCTTTTGTGAACAGGCTCTTGAGAACGTGAATTGGACCACACAGATGTTGATTTTCCACTCATTACAGTATTACGCTATGTATTTGTTTTTATTTAGGTTTTTATGTATAGGTATACAGCTCTTTTGATTGCTCCAATATTTAGGTATTTATCTTCAGTTTATTTTGTGCTTGCACCTACTCACTTCGTATACACTGATATTCAGGTTATGATGTGAACCCTGTATATGCGCTGCACACTTTGTGTTTGTATATTCTGTTTTTGTGGGATTTTCTGTGATTGTTCCCACCAGTGTGTTTCAGCTGCATTATTTAGCGCCACGAATTGTATTCTCTTTTTGTTGTTTGGATTTCTGAAGCCAGTCATTGACTTAGCTCAATATGACAGGCAAAACACAGGCTTGTTTTGATGTCCCATGCAGTCATTGGGTAACAGCATCAGTACATCAGAAAACAAAAAACACCAAGCAAAGCAAATCCTCACAACTATATAGGTTAAAGGAGTTTATTAAGTTAATATATAAATAGATAATAACACATAAAGGAAGCTGCACTCTGGTCACCGGTATCTGTTGTAATGGAAGTGTAGACGTGGCATGGGAAATCTTGTGTGTTGCCACTCTCTGCCTTTTATTTCTCGACCCATTTGACACATGGCACATGGCAGGCAGCAGCATATCGAGCAGTAATCGTTCATAAGGTTACCCTGCATGATAAAAATATGTTACACGCCATGCTTTACAATGATTGAGTTTTTTTGTCAGCGAAAGCAATGCATTGTGGGTTTGGAAAAGAGAGAAAAAAAAAACAAGTCCAATAAAATCATTTGCTGGATAGGAGTCTTCTTTTCAGGATATGTAACTGCAGTTTGTAACAATATAAAATCAGTCACATGATGTGACAAATTAAATGATGTGTTCCCTTATATATAGAACATGCCTACCAAGAGTTGAAATCAAAGAAACATTTGTGTAATGTGATCAAAAGGTGTGGCCAATTGGGACAATTAAAATAAGCGAGGGGACAACAGTTGATTTAGGTTCACAAAGTGATATGAAATCAGTATGCACTACAGAGTCAGGCTAGCCAGATTTGTGTAAAAAAAAAAAATTATTCTGCAACAAACATTTTCAGAATACCACACATTTGAAAGCTAGTTTTCCCATCAACCTTTGTGGCATCTTCAAGCATTACATCAATTAACACAATATGTATCACATGCGAATACTGAACAGGTGGCAGCCCTATCTTCTAGCTATTGATTAGATCAACAGTTAAAGGGATTCTATAATGTAAATAATACAACTTTGTATTATTTACACTATAGAACCTCTGGCCCTTCTACCTTGTGGCCAGCCCCTCTACAGCACAGAAAGTATTGAAAAAAATAAAACACCCAATTTCAGTGCCGATTTCCCTCAGCGCTTGGTCAGAGCTCTGCTGCCTCTGATGTCATCTGACAGGGAGTGCTAATACACGGCAAGCGATGTGAGCGTATTAGGCCCTTCCCCGTAGGAAAGATATGCTTCAATGCTTTACTATGGGGATTTTATGGACACTGCATGTCCTCATGCAGAGCTTGAGAATGTCCATTTTAAAAGTCGCTTAATCACAAGAAGTGCCTCTAGTTGCTGTGACCACCAGGGCCGCCATCAGGGAATGACAACCATAACGGTTGTCATGGGCCCGGTGGTCCTGGGGGACCCGGACTGCTCAGGTCGTCCCAGGCCCCACATTCAGTGGCGTACATACCGGGTCACAAGGGGCCCGGCCGCCCTGCGACCCGGTATGTACCCACTGTGCCCAGCCTCTTCTCCTAGGGGGCCCAGCAGCCGGTCACCTCAGGGCCCCCCGGAGCTGGCCCTGGTGTCACCCGGCGGGCGCGCGAGGAAGCACTCTCTCTGGCTGAGTGCTTCCTCTTCAGCTCCCTCGCGCACCGCACTGATGCCGGAGCCGGAAGATGACATCTTCCGGCTCCAGCATCAGTACACGGCGCGCGAGGGAGCTGATCAGGGAGCACTCAGCCAGGGAGAGTGCCAGCCAGGCCGCCGGGTGACACCACTGGACCCCAGGGAATCCCCTCAGCACTCCCAAAGGTAGGGAGGCTGGGGGGATGAAACTTAAAAAAAAAAAAAAAGTGTGTGAGTGTGTGTCCGTTAGAGTGTCACTGTTAGTTTGTGTGCGTATGTCACTGAGTGTGTGTCTGTCAGTAAATGTGTGTGTGTTAGCTAGTGTGTATGCATCTGTTCATGAGAGTGTGTGTGTCTTAAGCACTTACCTTTCTCCAGCGCCGGACTCCCTCGGCGCTGGGGATCTCTCCGCCTCAACTCCGACTGCGCATGTGTGGCAAGAGCCGCGCGCGCATTCAAACCGCCCATAGGAAAGCATTACTCAATGCTTTCCTATGGACATTCAGCGTCTTCTCACTGATTTTCACAGTGAGAATCGCGGAAGCTCCTCTAGTGGCTGTCAATGAGACAGCCACTAGAGGCTGGATTAACCCTCAGTGAAACAGTTTTTCTGAAACGTTTATGTTTTCAGCTGCAGGGTTAAAACTAGAGGGACCTGGCACTCAGACCACTTCATTGAGCTGATGTGATCTGGGTGTCTGTAGTGGTCCTTTAAGTGTATCTGCATGCACTGGCATACATACCACAGTCGCAGGGGCCATCCGCCACGTACTGCCCAGATGCATCTGGGCAGTATATTTCAAGTGTGCTGGGCCCCCTGCAGAATACAGGTAGCGGGGGCTGCACCATTCCTCAGGACCTCCAGATCCAGGGCTCCAGTCAATGTGATCTCCCCCCTCCATGGCCACAGGTGAGATACAGGGAGGGGGGAATAAAACAATACAATTAATGGATGGAAAAAAAACTGTAGGCTTTCCCCCCCACATTTTGCAGCCCCATACATGTACATACACACACTATACACTAACATTTACGCACACTATTCACTAACATTTACGCACACTATTCACTAACATTTATACAAACTATTCACTAACATTTATACAAACTATTCACTAACATACACACAATATTCACAAAAAATCACACACTACTTCCTAACACAAACACACTTTGTAGTCACTACACACACTACATCCACTACACAAACACAGTCTGCAGTCACTATACACACATTAAATACTTACACAAACACACACTACATAAAGACACTGCATCCACAGTGTATTCACTAAACACTACATCCACTACACACACTGCATTCACTACACAAACACACTCTGCATTCACTATACACATTGCATTTAATACACACAAACACACTCTGCATTCACTATAAACACACTACATCCACTACACAAACACACTCTGCATCTAATATACACCTCATACATTACACAAATGTACAATCTGCATCCACTATACACACTGCATCCACTTAACACACGAACTCTGCATCCACTACACAAATTCTACATCCACTATACACACACCAGAATCAGTACAGACACTGCATCCCTGTGGGCGGACTCAGGGGGTGGGGGGGCAGCACTTTGGGCAGACTCAGGTGCAGGCACCAGCGGGCCCTGACCTTGAGCTGTGTAAGTGACCCCGAAATTTCTGATGGCAGCCCTGCTGACCACTAATAGAGGCAATCTTAGTCCTGCAATGTAATCATTGCAGTTTCTCAAGAACTGCAGTGACTTACATTGCAGGACTAAGGGAGACAGGGACACTGCACCCACACCACTTCAATAGTGTCCTTTTAAACTTCGGCAAAGATGCAAGTTATGTACATGATATCTGGTTGGAGAGCCCGCTTCCAAGTGGCATTATCAACATAGAACACTTTTTTAAATTAAAAACTTCGCTATACCAATAATGAGACTGGCTTAGTCTACGGTTTTCTGTTATTTGCCTGCAAATTTCATTGTGAGGACCAATGCTGTGTGCTCTGCGTGCCATGGGCTGCCTCAATAAGCTTAGGCATAAACCTAAATTGTGACACTTAGGAGGGGGTGGGGGGGATATATAGCAGGTCACACGCAAGTTAGAGCATCTTACAGAGCCAGAGGAATGTATAAGGTAAAGTAAACGTTAAAACAAAAATCAGAAGCAGTTTGGTCTTATAAGAGTAAACCAGGTGAAAGTTCAGACTGTTTCAAGCTGGAGCATCTGTTGTCCCTGCCAGGATCCTTCCTGGAACAAATTGGGAGATCCCGCCTTCTGCCCTGTGCCAGAGGAGCTTCTACTGGGACTCCCAAGGCCTGGAGGAAAGCTGGGGCATTGCAGAGTTGCATGAGCGGAAACTTCTTGCCGTTCTTTTCTGCTTTTCCAGGTGGTGTGGGCTCCATCTATACGGAATCTTTAAGTCTCAGGAGCTTGGTGGTGGCTGGGGGGGAATGCCTCCACTGTATTGCCAACCTGGAGAGGTCCCAGAAATAGGATAGCTGGGAGCCGTCAAATGTTAGGGAAGGGGATGCTCTCACAGCCTCCAGTACTGCAGTCTTGTCAGTCTCTTTGGAATTGAAGGACCACATCTCTAGAGGCCTCCAGGCGTGCTTTTGCAGCCTTCGGTGGTCGGAAGCAGCAGTCAGTAGCAGCTTGCTTGGCCTGTTTACGTGACATTAATGTAGACAGTAGTTACCATTTATAGTGGGGTAGTTCTCCTGGGGAGACAGACTCTGGTACACCTCATGTTTGATGTTGCAGGCTTTAACCCTGTCTTCCAGTCTTGCTACCTGTAGGCTCATATCACTACGTCTTCTGCAAAGTTTTAAGAGCTGCATCAATAGTCGATTGTGCCACTTGCTGGCCCCCCAAGTCTTCTATAGCCTGGATGTGGCTAGTCAGGGTGGCCAGCTTGAAATATAGCTTTAATATTCAACAAGAGGGTTTTGAAGTTAGCATTAGTTGAAGGAGCTCTATCCTCCACCTCAAGAGCCTGGGGGGAACCTGGCCATAGAGCTTGCCCGGCAGCAGGGACATCCTCCTCTTGTTAACTCTCTGCCTCAGACGATGCCATGCAGTAGGCCGCGGGTTGTTGTGGCATCCACAGTAAAGTTCTGATAGCCGGGCCCGGGATCCGCTCAGTGCATTTTGGAACGCCGTCCCATAGTCTGCTCGTGCTCTGTGGGTACGAAGGAAGTATGTAATAAGCCTCCAAGTTGCCGGTTTAGCCACAGATCTGGACGACAGTTTGGCGCTCACAGGAGTTGCGACCGTCTTGCTTGGGTGCTGGTTCCGCACCCCCCCCTTAGAACACTTTTTCCCCAAGACACTTTCACTACACTTCTCAGTATCAAAATCACTCTCCTGTCACCCTCAGGGATATAAATGTTGACTAAAATAACTTACTTGAGCAGATAGCCAAGATCTGATAAATCTAACATTCTTGCTCCTACCACTAGGAACAGAGTGGATTTCAATCACATTCCTTGTCTAGATTTGTTAAGAGCTATAATGGATGAGAGTTATGTGGACCAACACTTTGCAGATCTATACACCTAAAAATATCTGGAGTTTTTATCTTCTTTTCAGCCATCTTATCCCAAAATTATAACTTTTCTGGTCAGTTTACTGACTGAATAGCCAGGCAAGTGTAGGATTACTTACCGGAATCTTGTACCTCTCTCGTAACCCGGTACGCAGAGCAAACATCGAACCTGGTAATAGGCCAAGGCAACACGTCTCTCCATAGAGGGCTGACAAATAGCACGGAAATAAAAATGGACAAAAACCTCCAAATAAACCTGGTAGGGCAGAAAAGTTATAAAAAATATAATACATATACACACACACACATCTCTATTACATAACACACAGTATGTCTTATGCAACTTTAGTCACCAATGGCCTTTGTGCTACTGAAAGCAAGTGGAGCAGTGAGACTATGTACATTGGGAGGACACCAAGGCATTCCTGGCACCATAACCACTACAACGGTTACACAAATCCTTACAAAGAACACATTACAATGGCATAGACCATAGGCAGTCTACCTTGGCACTCCAGATGCAAAGGATTAGGATTACCTCTCCCCTGATGTGTCCACAACATCTGGAGTGCTGAAGGTTGCCTGACCCTGGCATAGTGTGTTATTTGCTCTGAAAGTGTTAATACATTTAACATTTTATTCTCCTGTTATCATTAAGTTGCCTGACTTACGGAAATCATATAAAGCTTTCACAGACCACTCCATGTGCAAGTCTGAGTTCCTCTAAATGGATCTAAATTTGTGATTAGCCTAAACAAATGTAGTTCGCAGTAACTAGATCAGATGGCACATGCATGGTTTGTTGTTCAGTTTATGATTACAAATGTTTCACATTTTCACTTACACATTGGAAGATCTTCAAGACACTGGCAAAACCCTGTCCGCCATGTAATCGGTCCATATGGCATAGCCAATCCCATTTCATTGGTATTAGTATTTGTATTGGTATTTTGCACATTAACAACTACGTTATTCTGCGGCTGCTGTGGCTGAGTAACCACTAAAAGAATATGAAAGAATTATTATAACATACAGGAAGTCACTCTACATGGAAGTCATAGGCAATATGAATGAACCTGGACACAAAGTTGGATAGTGTTTGGTAGATGGGGAGGTGAGTAGGTGTTAAAAGGACACTCCAGGCCCCTATAGCACTTTAGCTTGCTTTATAAGCATTTTTCTGCAATATTTGCCCACTGACAATACAAGCCATCACATCCCTGGTTCACTGGCACCCACCTCCTCCAGGACTGACCCTCTTTGGGAATCATCAGAATTGATGCCAAGGAAGATAACAGTGTTTGTTTTCCCAACAGACATTAGCTTAGATTCTATAGCAACCTTACTGACAAAAGGGCAGCAAATTTTCATAGCAATTCAAGTTTAGTTTATACATTGACTAGTAATTTTGCAATAGTTTAGATACCAAATTAAAAAGTCTAGCACACATTTCAAATTGACAATGAGGGACACTTTAAAGGGATATTGTAGGCAGCCAGACCACTTCAGCTCATTGAAGTGGTCTAGGTGCAATTCTTCTGTTTGTTTTACCCTACAATAATAATTACCTGACAGTCACTAGAGGGACTTCCAGGTCATTAGGCGACTTGTTTGCCTAACTGATGCTGGACTTCCCAACGTTATGCATGAGGACATCCAGCGATACCCAAAACCATTAAACAATGCTTTCCAATGGGGCTGTCCTAATGCACATGCGATTCCTGACATCGAGAAAGGAGGAGCCAAGGCAGAGCTTGACCCAGCACTGAGTGACATCAGCGCTGATTTCAGGTGTGAATGAGGGGGCACTATAGGGAGGTATAGACAATTTTGCATTCCTAGCCTATAGTTTCCTTTTAATTGTAGGAATGTGTGGGGTTGTGACTAGGGGCCAGTTTGTTTTGTTACACACTCAAACACCAACAATATGGAGCTCCTAGAAAAGAGGCACTTCATATAGAAAAGAGGGACAGGAATCAGGAAAAAAAAAAAAAGATCTGTCACTCATGAAAAGTGACATTTGGGAGGTATGAGAAATTAGAAAGTTCCAGGACAGGTATTCCTTAATAATTGGGGTAAACTGGACCCCTCCAAAAAGGACCACTTTTTGAAATACATCTTAAAATTGATAAGCTGTCTAACTGCAAATTTGGTGCAAATAAAATGTGCAACTTTTGCAGGATGATCACCAACAGTACTTTGTACCTTATTTCAAATTTTCTTTAGCAAATGTAAGGTTTAAAATATACAGCACATTTACAACCAAACACGGATTAATTTTTTAGCCATTCACTACAAAATCCATTCAGATTTTAGTGAATATACCCCTTGATGTAAAGTGAACATTACGATTTTTAAAATCGTACTTACCAGGAGCCACGGGGGCAGCCATCGGAATTGCTGGTTGCATCTGCATGATTGGTTGCACCTGCACAGGCTGCTGCATCTGCACGGCTGGCTGCATCTGCATGGCTCGTAACATCTGCACAGGCTGCTGCATCTGCACGGCTGGCTGCATCTGCACGGCTGGCTGCACCTGAGTAGGCTGCTGCATCTGCACGGCTGGCTGCACCTGAGTAGGTTGCTGCATCTGCACAGCTGGCTGCACCTGAGTAGGTTGCTGCATCTGCACGGCTGGCTGCATCTGAGCAGGCGGCTGCATCTGCACGGCTGGCTGCATCTGCACGGGCTGCTGCACCCCCGGCACCTGTGCAGCTGGTTGCACCTGCAGCACTGGCATCTGTGAGTTTGGTATATGCATTGGTAAAGCAGCTCCCTCTGACAGGCAATGTAGGCACCTGCGTGATGTCAGGATTTCAAGGCTTTAAGCTAAGATACAAAATTAAAGTTTAGTCCACATACAATGTTACTAATGCCAACATAAGTCTTTAATCACAGACCTACCACAGATTCTAGAATTCTCTATACCCATTGTTATCAAAACATCTCTGCCGCAATATACTTTGCTAATCTGAACGTTTATAAAGGATAGGCATTCTTAATGCATGGCTTTGTATTAACAGAGTGCATGATTTTAATATTTACCTAATATACCTAAAAAATTTAATTAAAAAAATATTTAAAAAAAATAACCACAAGAGTTTGACAGTACTCTGTAGCTATCTCAAATGGTTTGCAAAAGAGTTGGGTGCCAAGGACAAAAATATGGTAGCTTGTGTTAAATCAAAAATAAATCTCCTGCTGACTCCTGACACCTAGCAACTCTATACATAATTTGGGCTTCTAGTTCCTACTCCTTATAAAATGTTGCTTTACCTAATTAGGTTTTAATTAAGTTTAGCTATAAAACCTGGCCAGTGATTTAATTATAAAAAACCCAAAACAGGATCTATGATTTAACAGGACTATAGATCTAAAAGTTTCTCTATACCAGTCCTTAGCTTCCTATTCACCTGAAATGAATACAAGTGGATTAATGGGTGTCTGACCATGCCTACAGACCATGCAAATTGGAATGGTTGAATCAGAATGAATCTAGATAGAAAACCAATGCTATAGGCAGGGTGGCCACATCTCTAATGTTTTCTGAACAAATATCATGGCCAATTCATGGAACATCAAACAGTAGTGAATTAAAAATGAGGCAAAAATAGCAAAGTTCTATGTAGCTGCATTCCAGATCAAATTTTTTTGCCTAAATTTTGCAACTTTTATTATTGCTAAAGTTCTATGTCGAGTAAACAAACCTCTGCTTGCTCCTCTATATTATATATAATCAATATGCTACAGGAGTGAAAAGCAATTCACTAATTAAGGAATTATTTTGTTTTAACAAATTACTTTTCTTCTTGCAGCACATGAATTGTGAACTACCTGGGAGTGGAGATGGTCGGTCCCATTACCCAGCACTAGGCAGTGTTACAGGGAGAGGAGATTGTCTGTCCCTCATCCAAATAGCAGCAAACATCCCTGGGAGTGGAGACAGTCAGTCTTACTACCCATTACCAGGCAGTGTCACAGGGAGAGGAGATGGTCGGTCCCTCATCCCAGCACCAGGCAGCAGTACAAGGAGTAGAGACGGTCGGTCTCACTCCCCAGTGGAAGTGTACCAGACAGGGAAAGGAGACAACTGGTCTCTCTCCCCAGCGGCAGACAGAATCACTGGGAGTGGAGATGGTCTGTCCCACTACCAACACCAGGCAGCGCCACAGGGAGAGAAGATTGTTGGTCCCTCATCCCAGCAGCTGCAAGCATCACTGGGAGTAGAGACAGTTGGTCTCACTACCCAGCACAAGGCAGTGTACCAGACAGGGAGAGGAGATTGTTGATCCCTCATCCCAGTAGCAGCAAGCATCCCTGGGAGTAGAGACAGTCGGTCTCACTACCCATCACCAGGCAGTGTCACAGGGAGAAGAGATTTCAGTTCCTCATCCCAGCAGAGGCAGTGTGCGGTCCCAGGAATGGAGACAACCAGTCTCGTTCCCCAGCAGCAGTGTGAGGTCCAGTGGGAGAAGCGTTCCATCCTTCCTCCCCAGTGGTAGCGTGAGGTCCAGGGAACGGAGACAACCAGTCTTGTTCCCCAGTGGAAGTGTGAGTTATTGGTAGTGGAGACAACCAGTCTAACTCCCCAACGGCAGGGTGCAAAGCCGGCCAGACTTCAGGACTGTAGGGGTGGGCCGAGGACAAGTGCTGTTGTAGGCATGGCACTCCCAGACTATGTGTCCACCCGAGAAAGCAGTGAGCTGACCCGTGTGGATCATGCTGTGGCTTTCAGTGGTGGACAAGGGGGAGATGTATGACGGAATGATGTCACTGAGTGCAACGCCCTCCCTGAGTGCCGATTGGTGCAAGTTGATTTTGCACCCTTTTTTCTCGATTGGTTGGAGTAAGTTAAAGGGCTTAGCTTGTAACTCCTGCCCCCGAGCCCTGATTGTCCGCTGCGTGGTTTAGGCAGGAGAATTGAATCTACTGGCCGAAACTAAGTGATTCTGTGAAGATATTTTTGGGTATATACAGAGCCTCAAGCCCAGACTTTGTATGACAATTTCTCGGGCTCTGTACATTCGATAGCTCAGTAATTTGCAGGGATCCTAGCTGACTAGGAGCTATTTGGGGATGTATGGCACGCGGGAATGCAGTATTGTATTATGAGTATTTTGTGGGTTTTTGTGTGTCAGCTTCATGTGTCTGGGAGATACCATTATCTCTCAGACACAGCGATGCTGGGGCGGGCTTATGTTTTACATTACTATGGATGGAGACCCCCTGTGGGGGTCTGTGCATAAATACTGTGTATTTGGCCATAAATAAATAGATCCTGTTGTAACCTTCATCAAGTCACGGCTGATGTTTGGGTAGCCAAGAGCTTTAATCACTGCTTCACTTAGGAAATGGGAGAATCACAATGGATATACTCAGTCGGAGTATAGGGGATCTGTTACAATGGTCCTGATGATATCACTCTGGAGGATTTCCCACTGCTTCTTCTGGATCTGGTAAGAAATCCACATCGACTGATTATACAAGATAGCCTCACTTTTGTGGATTGGAGTATTTCCAGGGATCATGGCATGTGTCAAGACTATTGTAAATTGCTTAGGACTTACTCCCAAGCTGAGCTTGATAAAGAGTTGATATGGTCGAAACGTTGCTGCTTTTGCCCAAATAATACTGCTCTTTTTGTTATCCCAGAGTGCCTGAACCATTCTTTATTCTGCATATCTTGGAAGGGAGGCCTGGCCAGTCCTGGCTTCAGAGCACCTGGGTTACTTGGTGAGTGCGTATCCAGTATATTTCAACAGTTTCCGTTCACAGTGTTTTCGCTTTTCTTTTCAGTTTAACCCCTAACCGACGACGGACATACTAAGTACGTCCGACAAAAAAGGACCGTGGCATTCCTATCTGATACATCCGCGGCATTCCTTAGTACTTACCAATCGCCGCCATTCCCCCGCCGGCGATCGGGGCTGCTTGCAATCTGTGGGGACTGCCTGACAGCCCAGACAGTCCCCCCTTGGCAAATTAGGCCCCCGCAGCGGTCAAATGGCGGCAAGAGATGTCCTTGTATCTGCCTGCAGGAGGACTGCCCAAACTGACAGGCAGTCACCCTGCATCTGTAAAATAAAAAAAAATAATGTTAATAAATATAAAAAAAATATTGATCCTGAGGAAAAGCCACAGAAGTGGGCTGAAACATCGATCAGATTTTTAATGAATATACAATAAAGGAATTTTTTCTGCTTCAAAAAACCGTGAGTGCAAGCCAGTTACTATGTATACTATATGTTTTGGCATTTGGCTTCAAGAATGCACCTGGTGACATTAATATTTAACTGTGTGTGCAAGGACTATTAAGATTTTTTTTATATATATATATCTATATATATATATATATATACCGTATTTATCGGCGTATAACACGCACCGGCGTATAACACGCACCTCATTTTAAGAAGGAAATTTCAGGAAAAAAAACTTAAATTTCAAATAAAGAACTTCTTACCCCCTTCTTACTCCCCCCTCCCCCTCTTCTTACCCCCCTTTCTTACTCCCCCCTCCCCTCTTCTTACCCCCCTCCCCCTCTATTTACCCCTCTTCTTACCCCCCTCCCTCTCTTTTACCCCCTTCCCCTCCCGTAGCGTGGCCGAGCTGCTCTGCTGTCCGCGGTGGCCGGCCGGAGTGATAGGAAGGTGCACGCTCAGTGTGCACCTTCCTGTCAGTCCGACCGGGTACAGGAAACAGAAACTCCTGTTCCGCGCGGAACAGAAGTTTCTGTTTCCTGTACCCGGTCGGACTGACAGGAAGGTGCACACTGAGCGTGCACCTTCCTATCACTCTGGCCGGCCACCGCGGACAGCAGAGCAGCTCGGCCACGCGGGAGGGGAGGTGAGAACCAACTGCAGCCGCCTGACCGCTCTTGACAGAGCGCTCAGGCAGCTGCATCATTTAAAGGGCCGGCGTATAACACGCACCCATAATTTGCCCCCTATTTTCAGGGAGAAAAAGTGCGTGTTATATAATATATAACTATAACTATATATATTGTGTATATATTTATATTATTATAAAATATAAATAATAAGTAAATAAAATAAATAATTTTTTTTAAAACTACTATATATGTAAGTTTATTCTAACTGTATTTTGATATTATTATATATATTTACATCAAAATACACTTAGAATTAAATTATATATATGTATATATAAATAAATAAAAATAGTACAATATATATATATATATATATATATATATATATGTATATATATATCCATATACATAATTGTATAAATAATTTCATAAAATTACACACAGACCTCAAATATATAAATATGTATATATATATTTAAATTATACGTGCATATTTATGTAATATTTTTACATAATTAAGTAATTTTATTAATTGCAATTTGAGGGACCTGCCTGACAACCCATGCCAAAATTCCAGAGAATTAAATTTGCTAGCAATATATTTATTGTAACTTTCCAAGACACCCTAAAACCTGTACATGGGGGGTACTGTTTTACTCGGGAGGCTTCACTGAACACAAATATTAGTGTTTCAAAACAGTAACACATATCACAGCGATGATATTGTAAGTGAAAATTAAGTTTTTGCATTTTTCACACACAAACGGCACTTTCACTGATGATATCATTGTTGTGATACATTTCGCTGTTTTGAAACACTAATATTTGAGTTCAGCAAAGTCTCCCAAGTTTTATAGTGTTTGTGAAAGTTATAGGGTCAAGTATAAGACTTGATTTTCAGTTTTTTT